TACTTCAAGGTCTGCAACTACAATTTCAGTTGAGCTGGGAGATCCATGTATGGGTGTAAGGCATGCTAAAAGGATACTTTTAGTCTTTAGGAGCTGGTGTTTGGTTTTTTTTAACCTGCCTTTTGAAACATGAAAGCTGGGCAGAGCTGGATTCTGGATGTGGCACCAGTGGAGTTGTACCATGATGTTCTCAAGGGCAGTAGGATGATGGTCAGAAACAGTCAAATCACTGTGACTGAGGTCAGATGCAGTATGTTCCTGGCTTCAGGCTGGCTCGGGCTTCTAGGCTTTCTGTATTCTTTTGAAGTCTAATTCCCATGACATAATGAGTTGTTTACTTAACACATTTCCTGTTAATGGAGTGATATTAAAGACACAGTTAACCTCTGTTCTCCAAGCCTGTGTCAAACTGTGCTGTCCCCACTGGTTCTCTGTTACAAGTTCTTAAAGGTGTTGTGAGACATAAGCCTGGGGAATAGATGTGCTGTGGATGTGCTCCATTTCACCCCTTTTCCTGCCCAAGATTGCCTTCACAGACACTGCGAAACATCTGCCTGAGTCCTGTGTAGTAAACACTGGGAACAGGGTGACATCCTGTGAACTCCTCAAAGCCAATTCTTACTCATAGCTAGAACAGTAGTATAAAAACTCAAGCAAATCTTTGCTAACACCTGGAATTTTTTGCAAAAATAAAGTGGTGTGTGAATGAAGAGCTGAGCTGCCACCCAGCAGCTACATCAGTTGCTTTGCGGACACAGCCTGCCTGGAAAATGCTTGTTTATGATTTAGCTTAATCCACAATTTCATAAACATAGCATGCTTTGCTGGTATATGCTCTTAATACAGATGTAAGTAATGAACAAGAAGTTTGTAGGTAGTGTTGCGACCTGATAAAGGAGGGGAGACAAACTGCACCGTGCCCAGTGAAGTGGGCAAATGTAACATAAAGTGTTACTAATTTCACACTGCATGCCCGATGTAGGTTTTCAGAATGCTTTCTCACAGATGCAAAATGATTCCTCACACACTGTAATGGCTGGATACTTCCAGTGCATCGCCCTGGATTGTGAAAGTTGGGCCACGCTATTTCCTTTTCTTTTCTTGCCAAGAAGGGAAATGAGACCCGTGTTGCTTCAGGCTGTAAATTATAAATGAGTAGCATGATCATCTGTAACTTCGAAGCAAAGGTCAAAGGAATTTTTTTGTATTTTGTCTGTGTTCTTTAACTGGATCGTCTTTGATGTTTACACTGCACATACAGCATGATCATTATATCCCGCACTCTTGCATCATTAATGCAACTACAAACGAGATGGCTCAAGTTATGAACAACCAGAGCTTCAGTCTAATGCAGACAGATATAAAGGAGGAAAATGAGCTAAATAAAAATACTTATTGAAGGGATTGTTCCCTGGTGTCAATGTGCTTAAAGAAAGTATGACTAAATGAGAGAATCCTGTTTCTTTATGGAGTTATTTTCCAGCCCAGCAAATCTTTTGTTCATTGATTTGTAAAATGAGAGAACATTTTGGGGTAAAAATAAGGAATTTGAATACCTTGCAGCAATATTTCATTCTATGCCTACTTGTTTTGTGAAATTCCTCTAGTAACAGTTTGCTTTAAATTTTATGTGACACATTTAAAAACTACTTCTGTGCATAGACTGGAAAGCTGCAGAATTCCCTTGGAAAGTCTCCGTGTTATTAAACCATGAGGACACTGGTTTTATTTGAGGGATAAAATAGAACAATGCATTATCTGCTTTAACATCTTTTACAGAACTGGGTTTGTGAGAACATGCACACCTCACAGAAAAAGTGACAACTGATAAGGCACTAATTTACTCTCCTTTTTGGCATGATTGCAATGGATTTAAAGCTGTTTTTTGCTGCTGGATGGAGAGATGTTAGGTGTAGAGGTGGCCCAGGAGCAGCTCTGCTGAGCAGTCTTGGTAGGTCATGTGTACCTGGAACGGGCAGCAGGATACCCTCCAGGCACACCTCGCAAGCCAGCCATCCCTGGGGTAATCATTTTCAGAAGACCATAGAATCACAGAATGGTTTGGGTTGGAAGGGACCTTAAAGATCATCTAGTTCCAGCCCCCCTGCCGTGGGCAGGGACACCTTGCACTAGACCAGGCTGCTCAATTTTGATCAGTGCTGTGTTAAAACAAGTGCTCAGTTTGGATGCATGTACATGTAAAGGGCAGTGACTGCCCTTTATTCTCAAAGGTTTATTGTGGAATGTTTTCAAAATTAGAGGTTTTTCTCCCCAGACACTGATTTTTAACACACTTCATTAAATGGGTGCAGATAATGGTGATTATTATCTGCAATGAAAAGGTTGTAACTCTAAAGTCCAGTTACAAACGGATGTAAGGTGGTTTTAAACACAAGCACATCATATAAGGCTTTTCAGAGCCTTCTACATTATGCATTTTGCAAAGATTATGGTTTGAAATTCAAAATCAATTTAGGTTTTGGTGTCTTTGTTTTTGAAGCAGGAATAATCAAAATGGTGACTGCATTTCAAAATACTCATTTTGCATGCAGAGTAACAACCCTTTAATAAGAAATTTTACTGCAGTATCTTAATGTGCAGTTTTATTGCCTATTATTTTTAGCGAGCATTTATGAAGCCTTATGTTTGGGGTTTAACACCTTCGCTCTTTCCCATCGTAACAGGTTGAAATTTGGCATAGCAGTGGCAACCCTCATTTCAAAATTTTCACAGAAAATTGTAAACAGCAAATTGCTGATTTGTAAAGATTTTGTTAATTTCCACACTTTGAAGCCTGTCAACTTAAATGTCAAATAATATGACATCCATATGGACCATTAGATCAATGAGAGCGTAGGACCAGAGCTGCCTCAAAGTGCACATCCTGTGGTGACACCTCTGAGGTTCTAGAACAGCCAAAAATCGGGGTGGGGAGTGGGGGAAGGAAATTGTGAAAGTTATGGTAAGAAAGGGCAAGATAGCTAAAACTGTCTTTAAAATAATCCTTCATCCTGTCATTTTGGAAAAGTTCTGAAATCTCTGTTTCCAAGTCGCAAACGTGGCGCTGCAGCAGAGGTCTGGATTTAAGCCAGCTTCAGTGTTAGCAAGGTTGGAGCATTCAGTATGTAAGCAGAGTGCTTTTCATCAGGCTCTAGCTGGGTAATATTCCGGTTGATGTTTATTTTGTCTTTAACTTTAGGATGTGGCCCACACAGAACACAGTATTCTTTTTCTCCTTGATACAGAGCAATAGTCCAAATATTATATTTCCCATGGAATTTTATTTCTGTTTAAAACTTTTGTAATGCACGGAATGTGTGTGCCACTGACATTAGTAGTATGTTGTAGTAACAAACAATATTCAGGGTTTATAGTAAAGTGTTCTCTATTTATTACGCGGTTCATATTAAATAGCTGGAATATCTTTTATGATTCAAAGCACCAGTGACTGAGTCACTTGGGCAGAAGATGCATTATACTTTATTTGGGGTGTATTCATTTTGGCATTGTAATATCTCATTTGAAAAGAATGTATATTGCATTATTGATTTTTATGGGTCTTAGAATGATAAAAACATCACACAGCAATAAAGAAAAAAGCATCCTTTTCCTGTATACACTGTGTTTGGATGCAGCTCAGAGCCTTTCATAGAAGTAAACATAAAACCTATGTTGTTATACAGAAATATGAAGTACTTTATTTTACACCATGGTGTAATGGTATTCATATAACAAGTCTTTAACTCAAATGTGGTCTTAATTCTGCAGAGCTAAACTCTTTGAAGCATACTGTGTAGAAGTGCTTCTGCTTTAGAGAGGGGCAATGTCTTTCTTTTTCCTTGTTTTCTTCGAGGAAGGCTGATCTACCATGAGTTTTACCTATAAGTTTTTTTACTATTACAAATTTTAGATGCTTGCCAGGCTTCACTCTTAACAACTCTTTTAGCTGGCACAGAGAAACCGAGAAAAGCTTCGGAAGAAGTGGTGTCCAGTATGTCCAGTCCTGGACATATAGAATGGACATAGACTCCTTCCTGACCTTCTAAGTTGTGGACTTCCTAACTTTGTGATAGCATTGGTACATGGGAAATTTCAAGCATGTTGATGATATTTGTCACTGATGTTATCATGTACTGAGTTAAGAAGTACAGAACCCAAAGCAGGTGGGAGAGACTCCTTGATTTTGTAATGCTGACTTTATCTGCAGTATCTTGGGCACTAGGTGACCCAGTGTATCCAGCTGCTTTGGAAAACTACTTATGGCTATGTCCTTAAGCACATTTTTCAGCAAATATGAAAATGTTAATAATGTAATATAATCCTAATTTTACAGCTTGGATAAATCGTCTTCAAAGTAATTGATCTTTATTATTCTTTTCCTGCACATGATCTAAAATAATGTAATTTTTGGATTAAACTTGTTTGGTCTTTATTTTAAAGAAAAGTTTTTTTTAATAGTGAACTCAGCTCAGGAGAAGAAAAGTTTACTCAGTTCACACTGCTGTCTCTCAGTAAGGAAAAGTCAATGCTTGCACAGTCCTTCGGAGGCCCTGTTTTCTGCCTGTTATCCCTCACCAACACCTTTGCTTTCTGAAACTAAAATTTTTATAACACCTTTTATCTTTCAATATTCATCAAACTAGGTTTAGAGGAGGTTGAATTTAATGCCTTGAAAAAAACAGTGGAAATATTCCTGTTCTATTTTTCATTTTGTGAAATGAATTCAGACAAAATGTGTATTGTCAGAAATCAATAGTTAATTGAAAGATGTAGTACATTTTATCATTAGTAGTTAAAGAGAAATTCCCAAATAGTAATATTAAGTTTTTACTGCTAGCTATTTACAGAATTTATTGCATTTTTATGTCATTGTTAGAAACACAGTGTATTATCGTAAGTGTATATGCTTCTTAATCTTCTATGTTTCTTAATTCTCAAATCTAAATTAAAATATATTTTACCAAGATTGCTATTAATTTACTTTCTTTACAAAATCTTAGGCTAATCGGCTGGTGGGGTCATGAATTCAAAACACGATTCCTCATGGAAAACAGTATGTACTTTTACACTTTCAATTTCACCCTATTTGAAGTATCTATGTATCACCAGCTTCACTTTTGTAGTATTTGGAGTAGAAAGGATAATACTCTGCCCTTCCTCACTCATGTTAAAGGTATTAAGCTAAACTCATCTCAAATATGTAATGCAGTGGAGTTCACAAAATAAATGTGGGAATACATTTGGTCTCTGGGCATATGGGTCTAACTGTCTGCTTCTAGATATTTTGCTGATATACCTTCAAAATGCAGATGCAGAATATTGATGAAACTCAAAGTATCTCAGTGAATTAAACTTGTAAGTCTCTGGGGAGCAAGGATCTGCTATCATGCACTTGGGTAATACCTCACTTCAGAATTTGTTCCATTGGAATTAATGAAAAACTATATAACTAAAGGTACCACAACCTGACATAAGTCATGAAATAGTACTAATGTCTCAGCCTCTCCAAATCTCTTCCCCTATCAAAGGATAGGCTATAAGACAAAACCAAACCTGCTCTGAACTAGCTAAATACTTGTTGTCCCAATGTGAAACGAGGACTCCTTTCCAAATCTGACCGCTATACTGTTCAGCTCAATTTTAAAGTACGACAGAGAGTATCCTGATGGATCTGGAGGAGAAAGGAGCCTTTTGGTTTGATTAGTAGCTTTGGTTTTAATATATTTTTAATCTTCTGTGGCAGCCCCTATTGATGTGACTTTGGCTGGAGAACACCTCTCTAATAGCCTCAGTCTGCTCTTTGTTTCTGATCAAACATAAGAGTGTGGCAGTATGGGAAGTCAGCAGGAGACACAAATTGACTTGAAATATTGTCAGAAGAAAAACGTTGTTTATTCATTTCCATGGGCAGTTTACAGGGAAGAAGTGGGGCAGCGATCATTATAAAATTAGCCATTCTGCTGTGCATGAAACGCATTTCCTCCGCAGCATCCTCTTGCTCTGGTGCTGGAGCATGAAATATAAACGGTGACACAGAACTTACAGAGAGGCTTTATAGATTTATTAAAGAGATTTTGTGAAATTTCACAGCCTAAAGTCTACACAACTTCTCTGCGTGGCCTGAAGCTACACTTAGCTGCATATGCAGTCTCCCATGTGTCTCGTCAGTTTAATAAAGTTAAGGAACATGATTCCCTGCTCGTGGCAGCACCACAGCTCCGCACGAGTGTGCCTCTGCTGACTTGGAATTTTCTCGGGTTTGTGCCAGTGTTAAAAGAGATTGAAGTGTAAAGGTGGTTTTAACACACACCATTTAAACAAATTAATTGCAGTTCTCTAGTTCCCATGAAGCTGCTAATGATGTCTTCCGCTGGATAAAATTGGACTTCTCTCAAAGTTAAAAGTATTAGCTGTGCATAGATTACTATTTCCTTTTAATGACTGATTCCTACAGGCCACATTAGTGAAATATTTTATTGCATGAGGATGGACTTCAAGATAAGGTCCAATCCATTAAAAGGAAGAAATCAAAAACACTAATAGAAGTTATTCATTTTCCAGAATTACAACTAAGTGAAGGAATTAATGCATTTCGGTTATCGAATCCTCCAATTTTACTGGTCTGTGCTCTGCAAGCTAGTTTAGAGGTAAGTAATTGCTTTACTTTGAGCCTGAATTTAAGAGTACAAAGATGTTAAATGAATGTTACATATATTGTTGCTGTCTCCCTTAAAGAAAAGAAAAAAAAAAAAAGCAGAATAGGTAAAAAAAAAAGGGCCAAGGAAGTGAAAAACAAATAACCCCACAACCCTGAGAAACCAAGGCCTTTAATGAATATACTCAGTACAAACAATAGTTTTTCCCATAGAGGCTTTCTTCAGTGCAATTCATGCAAAGTTTGACGTTAGACATCTTTCTAGGAAGGAATCATGTGACTAAAAAGTTGCATCCAGAGTTTTTCCTACTTATGTTTGCCTGAGGAAAACAGACTTAGCTCCTTTATGAAAGAAAATGGATGTGGCCACTTGGTGTCCTGGAATCTAAATTGAACCAGAGGCTCAAGGAACCTACCCTCTGCTGTAGTCCCTTTTATTGCAAACAGAAAAGGCTGAGGCTGTCCGTGAACGTTTTCTAAAATAGGAATTTATAACTCCAGAATGGGTTTCATCACTGTATTAGCTTTTTTGGTGGCCAAAGGAGCAGAGCCCTGCCTCTGACCCATCTCTATATGAATCACTTAGATCATGGCTGTGGGAAGGGCAGTCCTGCCATACTCAGCTGATCCCTTCCTGCCTAGTAAGGAATGTCCTAGGTGCTGAAAGCCCTCTGGTCTACCTCGGAGAGCACAATTCAGCCCGAAGGTGCAGAGCTGTCCTCAAAACACCTTCTCTCATGCTGCATTTCATACTGAGACGTAGCAGCACTGTACGGATGTTTCACCCCTGAAATGCAGGACCCTCAGTCTTTGTGGTTGTGAAGGATGGTTTTACATAAATTTCCCTACTACAGGCTACATATGCTAATATATTAAATTTTTTCCTAATCTGTGTTCAAGCCAGACTTGGTTAGCAAGGTTTTTCCATCAGCATAAATGGGAGAATTTTATTCCTGCTAGTGTTCCATTAATGCTAGTGTAATGGCAAAGCTGATGCTGGAACAAAGAGCAATGTCCATACACTGTACGCCCCTCCTTATTTACTGAAAAAAGAGTATCTTAAGCAAACAAAGTCAGAAAATTGCCGGTTGTGCTCTCTGCAGTTTACATGCAATGTTGAAGGACTGCAAAGGGCACAGCAATGCTTCTTTTTCTGCCTGACAATTTATTTTGTTAGTCCTTAAACATCCAATATATTTTTTTTAAACTTTATGAGACCTTTGAGATAAGCTGAAAGCTATTGTGCTATGACCCAGATTGTCAGTGCTCCAGTTTGTGTGGGTTGATGTCATTTAGCCCACTGCAGGGAGCCTCCAAACAATGAGGGCTGAGCAGTTTCCATCGCCTCCCCTTTCCATGCCTGCATTACCTTTTGGCACAGCCAGGATTTCCCAGTGCTAATTGCTCTAATACAGTGGGAAACAAAATAGTTTTCATGTCTGGCAAGAGATGGCTAGTGAAATTGCATGCCACCTTCACTGGGACACATTAAGCAGAAGGCAGTGTTTCCAATGGAAACAATGAAAACTGCAAGTGTTAATGCATGTTATTCCTCAATAATGCTTAAAGTGACTGTTATGGCAGTGGCTGCTCCCTTTTATGGAAAAAAGGGGAGCACTCTACAACCGCATTTAAAAGATCTTTTTCCAAAAATTTCACCCAGGAGGACAAATATTCCTTGCACAAAGCCTGAGCAAACAGATTTTTGCACACAGCCTAAGGAGATCCATCCCAGAAGCCCAGAGGAACAGGAGGCAGGTCTCCTTCTCCAGTAACGTGCTGAATGGTTGGATGTACCGCTGCCTGACTGCGTGGTGGGGGAAGCACCTCCAGATTTTTGTTGGCCTGCGCAGGTACCAACTGCCGATGGCTCTGGTCCCTCTTGCATTCATTTCCGTGACTGCACTGTCTCTGTGCAAAGTCTGCCTTACAGCAGCCATGTTTTGTTCTGCAGAAAACAGTGTAGGGGTTTATGGGTTTGTGCAGTGTCTAGTGGTTGTGATAGCATCACGGAGTCATTCTTGGGGTATTCTACAGAAGTGTGATTTCCAGGTGCTGCTGGAAACCAGACTTGATCGTATTTCAAGTAGAATTTCCCAGTTACCTCTTTGTACACTCTTCCAGGTTAAAAGTAATCTGAAATTTGTTACTCCTTCAGTGGGGAGCAGTGATTTCTTGAGGGTGAAGATCATGGATTTGCATACAGGACCTCTGCTTTGTGTTGGATTTTGCAGCTACAGTCAGTGGAGGCGCAGTGGTCCATGAGCAACGATACTGCGTTTGTGTGCCAGAATGTGATTTGAAGTGACTGTTGGGTACTTACGTGTCTGTATCTTGTCATTTTTCCCTGAAGCTACTTGCATGGGAAGAAGAAAAAGGAGGGTTTGAGGAAGGCAGGAGTAAATTGGTTCTGAGGTCACATTTTCCATTATTCCCTGTAACTGAGCCTTTCCAGAGCACAAGCAGAAGCTGTCTCGCCTTCTCCTGCTTCCAAACTCTTCTGCCCCAATGTTTGTTCTTGTTTGTGTAGCAAAGTAGCACTGCCATTTTTAAGCAATCTCTATTGCATGTCTCATGATGTTTGGAGTTTCTGCAGCTCGGCAGTCCTTGTAGCTCTGTAACAGCATCGAACTATTAAACCAGAGTCAAGTGAATATTTTTTTTTTTCATGCAGACTAGCAGGGACAGAGCCTGTACAGGACTTAAAGCAGTAAAGTCAATATGGTAATAGAAATTTTGTGTCTTCAATTACAATAATTTGTAGCTCACTCTTTACTCTTGGATTTTGTTACCTGAGATACATACAAGGAAAAACTTGTATGTGTTTTTTGAGGTTCATGTAGGCCCATTGCATGAATAGAGACTTTATGGATGCTTCCCACATATGCAAAGAGATGCTTTCTTAGAAAACTGCTTTTGTGTGCAAATTCATTTATGCGGATATAGATGTGTGTAAAATTTTAACAGTAAACAGGAATGTCTTTCATTCTCTAATAATAATGTTATCCTGTCTTTTCAAAAGCCCAATTCTGCCACATTTATATATAATATCTATCTCATATTACAACCTGGTTCCAATGATAATGTGTAGAGAAATCTGCCACCCTCTTAGTTGTCTTTACTTCTTTTTTATTTTCTATAGCAACACATTATTATTCTAATGATTTAAAATCATTACAGGTTTTTCATCAAACAACAATGAAAGCATTGAGAAGAAAATCTGTTCTACTCACCGGTTACTTGGAATACCTGATAAAACATTACTACAGTGAGGATAAAACAAATCCAGAGAAGCCCTTTGTAAAAATAATCACACCATCTCAGATTGAAGAAAGAGGATGCCAACTCACACTATCTTTTTCCCTTCCAATCAAATCTGTGTTTAAAGAGCTGGAGAAGAGAGGAGTAGCTGTGAGTAAATCAAATCTCATATTCTTATGCATTGTTGTGTGAACCTATACCATAACAAAGTAATAGTTTTGGTTTTATTCAAATATAGTCTCATATAAGGTCAAAAAGACTGGTAATGGTGAAAATTACTTACACAGCATCTTCAATCTAATAGGAGTTATTTTATAAATCTAATTAGTAGTTATTTTATAAATTATTAGTCTGTAGATTGTCATTTCTCTATTGTTTTATTTCCAATAGTTCTGTGAGTAGCACACAGTAGTCACCATTAAGAGCTGCTTTATGGGTATATTATGGTGGGAGGAATTATGGATTTGAAGCTCATGGCCTAATCAAGAAAGATAGGAGGAAAAATAAATTAATTAAAAAGTATCACTGGAAAAACCACAAATATGAATATGTCAGAGCTGCCCAATGCAATGTACTGCCTGCACAGGATGTTCCTGTTCAGTGTGCTTGTCCAGGGCCCCTGCAGTGGGTCCAGGCATGAGGTCAGAGACCAGGAAGAGGTCGTCTGTGCCACCCTGGGTGCTGGCAGTCAGCAGGGCTCAGGCTGTGCTCACCGTCCTCAGCACCACAATTCGCACACCTACAGCCTGACGATGACAAGGAGCTGTGAACCTCCACCAGTCCATTTCCTGATCTGCAAATGGCCAAACCCTTACTCTTTCTCAAGGTGGAGAAATTAAACAGTGACCATTCTCTTAGAGATGTGTTTTAGCACTCAGACACAGTTACCAGTAAATACTGCTCAAAAAGAATAAAAGCTAAATTTAAGGTTATACAGTTTGTGATTTAGAAGTGCTGGGAGGTGAGGCTGATAGTGTAATGCCATACAAATGATAGATAATTTTTATTTCTGCTGGTGACTTGTGTCCCCAAAGGGCAACTCTTCTAGGCTAAATATGCTGCTGTTTTGGTGCTGCCAGGTAATTCCAGGAACTGCTGCTTTTAAGAGGGCACAGGGGCTTATACTATTGGCTTATCTTTGCGATGCAGTAATGCTCTTCAGATATGAGAGATTATTCTATTCAGCAAAATGTTCACATTCACAGAGAGGGGGAAGAAAAATACTGCAATCTCCATGACATTACTTTTGCTTGTAGTACAAGACACTCTACGATGCTGTCATGTGTCTGTTTTCTGGTGGCTTTTTTGTCACCTTCAACTGTAGGTTGCTATGGGCACTAAGGTAAATTATGGGTATACATATCTGGTTTGGAAACCCTCAGCGATGCTGCTAGAATCCTGCCCATCCTAAGCCTTGAACCCTTTTTTAGGCAAAATGTTACTTTTTTGCTATGTTCTTCACAAT